CAAAAAAAAAAACAAAAAAAAACAGAGAATCGTCTGTCTGAACGATGTGTCCAACGATGAGGAAGGAGATTAACGATGTGACCGCGAACTGTAAAATAGGACGGTACGTTTTACCGCGATGTTCTCTTCTTTGCCGAGCGACAGCCTCGAGTGTGATCGAGCGGCGGATATATACGCGACGACGATGTACGACGGTGTTGTGTCGTTTACGGACGGAGAGGCGGAGGAGCACTCTCGCTCTCGATATTGTAATGTAAGTTTTATTTAATTTTACGTACACACTCTCTCGTCGCTCCTGTTTATTTATGAGTCTTGTAACTTAAAGCGAAAATCCTCAGGGGCCTTCTCTAACGTACGCGTCGAACGAGCTTGTCGTCGACCGGCATTCCAGGGAATCGCCCCCTTCCCCCTTTTCCACCCCCGCGCGGATTCGATACGCCGTGATCGAAACCGACGTAATTCCGACGCTAGACGACGTTGTGTTTCTTTTTAAATCCTTTTCTTTTCTTTCTGCGACGATATGGTAATCGCGACGACTGCCGCGAGATGTACTTCTTCGTCGCGTAACGCGGAATATTTCGTGGATCGTCGGAACTCCGTCGGTTTTCATCCCCGCGGCCACCTTTTCTCCACGTTCCATTTTCCCGCGGAAAGGAAGTATTCTTCGTCCGGGGTGAAGAAATGTACTTAATCGTCGGATCTCGTTATCCACCTAGTTCTTACTTGTCCTATCTCTGCACTTTTCTTTTCTTCTTCTCTCTTTGACACGTCTTCCTCGCTAAATCGAGGAACGTCGCTCGAAGAGTACTTATAGCACTAGGATAATTGCGATAGACTTTCCAGTACGATGAAAGTAACGTTAATATTAAAATGAAAAAAAGATGACCGTTATTACTTTTTTGATTTTAATATTTCTTTTTTAAATTATCGATTTTGTTGAAATGATTGTGATAATTGCGATTGTCGCATTTTGTCACAAACACTTCTTTCGGTATTTTCCTCCTTTCTCCTTTTCCCTTCCTTTCGATTGAGGATCGACGAGATACACGAAATTCGATCACCGGAAAACGGAACGTGGTTGTTGAGAATGCTCGTTTTCTTTTGTCTTGTTTTTCTTTCTTTTTTTTTTATATAATTAATCACTTAATTACATATCGTACCGAGATCGTTTTTTCGACTAATCGTCGACTGATTTTAAATGTGTCTGCTACTGCCAGCGCGTTAACACACGTCAAGGAAATAAAGATACAAAATAATACAAACATAAAGCGGAAATAGAAGGAGCTGTGAAAAATTTAGTCGTTAGGTCTTCTCCTGGTTGCGACGTTTCGGCTGCTCCGAATATAACGCGACGTAAGGGTCCCCGCTGAACGGATAAGATCTCGAGTTTTTAATCGGATGTGCTAATCATCATCCGTGCGTGAGAAGAAAGATTTAATATTTAAGCACCGCAAAGTACAAGTAATACGTAAGCTATGATGGAACAGTCGAATAATTGAAGGCGATAAATCAGTTTTTACTTTAAAACAAATTAAAATTGAACGCGAGATAAATTATTTAAAAAATTAATATCAAATTGATTTACCTCTGCGTTGCATAAATACGGTTGATACAACGTTTCAAATAGAATTTCTGCTAGCGAATTTATTTTCAAAGGATATTTCCTGTCCGTCGGACGCGTTTATTTAAGATTAAAATTCGAGGACTTGTAAAGAAGTCTTTGGGGTAGCTTCTCGGCGGGGGCAATCCTTATGACGCGGATGATTAATCGAATCTTGGTGCATGCCGCTCCCTAATTACTTCAGTAGCATCGAGTTAGAATCCCGTTCGTTCTTAGTCGCGTAAGGTCCGTATTACATTTCCCGTAAAGTAATTTGCCACGCGTGCTAATTGGCTGTAACTCTTGTGGAAAATTCCAAGAGTTCTAGAAATTCTTCACAAAGCTTATCAGCGTCGCTAATTTTAATCTTATACAATTATTTTTGTTTCTTAATTTCTCCAATTTTACCCGAGATAAATATTATATAACTTTTTATCATTTATTTGAAGATCGTAAGAGTTTTTGAAATTTTAATTATTTTTCTTTATTTAATATTTCTGTTTGACATAATTACCTCTCTTAAAGTTTACCTTGTTGTCTGATAAATAATTGACATAAAGACGTATTTAATCATCAAATTAGCAAAGAACATTAAAATTTTGCAGTGACCTTAATAAAGAAAATAGGCAGCGAATGGGATTCAACGGACTCGTTCTCGCGAGAAGCGTAATACGGGCCTCGCAAGGCTTGAACGAAGCGACGCGCCCAGTGTGTTCGAACGCGTCCGAGCGATCCGTCGGCGATTACTTCCGGCGCGATCCCGCGGCTCTCAATAATCGCAGTGCGTCGGCTGTCTTTCGGCCGGCGCGTTATCGAAGAATCTCACTCACGAAAAAATTGGCGTCGCTTCGCGCGAGTGCATAAAATCCGACGAACTTGCGACGAGACAGAAGCGCGCTCTCGCGCATCCGGAAGCTTACTCTAATCGGTCCGCACAGGCAAGTGGGTCCGTATCGAAACGCGATTTGTAGCAAACGAGAGAAGACATCCTGGTTTTTAATATTGACACATTATATTAGTCTGTTACTGAGGAGAGAACTCTAGCAAAAAAAAAATATATATATATATATATATATATAATATATATATATATATA